ATGAATATTATTATCAACTATTAATTTGCACTTCATCACTTTCTAAATAATTAAGAAAATAACAGAAATATTTGTAAATTTGTTATCTAAATATGTTTCTAACTTTTCAGAAGTTGTAAAATGGTCCATAAATTGCTCGTCAGATATTGTCGAGTGTCTGACACAAAACGTATCCGAAACGCAAATACGTTAACAAACTGAAGTTTTTGTGCTACATAGGCACATATCTAATTAGTCATTAATTTAAGTCATTTTGTACCAAAATACTTATAGCTTTATATAATATTTTTTCAAACTATTTGTCACTTTAAAATTTTATTGATGCATTAATTATTTTGTTGTCACTTTTAACTTATTGAAAAAAGAATTAATTAGTTGAGAAATAACAAGTGATCATAAGAGTATATTAGTTACTTTATATATATATTTATACAATAATTCATACATACATATTTATTAATTTTTTTTAATAAATCCCCAACAATCGAATTCATTAAACATATTACATATTGCCATATTGGTAGAACTGAATTTCTAGACTAAACACATGATCGGTACTCATTTTATAATTTAATACACTCTAATCAAATAAAACATAAATCACTTATTACAACAACAACAACAACACATGATATAATTTTCACGTTGTTAAGACATTAATTATTTTAAACATGATTAGGGGTAGAATAATCAAGTGAAACCGGCGCCGGAGAAATCCTTCTTCCCCGCTCCGATCTGCTATTCTCGGCGAACTTAAGACTGCTCGCATGCATCCCCTTCTTCTTCTCCTCTTCATTCCACTCCTTCCCGTAATAATCCTCCTCCGTTCCTTTAACGCCGTCTTTTGACGGCCCACAAAACATTCCCCCCCACTGCGGAAAGTAAACCGCCGTCACCGGAAAAGTACAGCACACTATCATTATCCCCATATAAGACAAACCCGTCGCCGTCGAAAACTGCGACCCGGCGAAGAACACCAGCTGGGTCAGCCCCGACCCGAAGTTCCCTCCGGCGCCGGTCATACCGGAGATGATGCCCAGCGACCTCCTGGAAATGAACGGGATTATGCCAAAGGTGGCCCCACACGCCGCCTGTGCTCCGACGGAGAATAGGATCATCATCGCGATGGCGAACGGGAGGACGTTTGCCCGGCCGAGCATGATGCAGAAAACGCCGCCGAGGGTTTGTAGGGTCCACAGCACCCAGAGGCGCCCCCTCATTCCGAACCTCCTGGCGGCGTAGTCGGAGGCGAAACCCCCAAACGGCCGTGCTACTATGTTCGCCATTCCGAATGTTGCCGCTATTGTTCCGGCGGTGTGAAGGTTCAGATCAAACCTGCCGGATATATAATATAATATAATATTTAATATATTATGTTACATTTAATTTACGGAAAATTATTATTCAATAAAATTTATGTAAAATAATATTGTTTTGATTAATTATTTAAGAGTGTCCTTATGCTCGATTAACCTGTCGTAGAAGTATTCAGCGACCACGTTATCCGTAGTTAATTCGACTCCCATCGAGTAACCATAGAGGAGGACGAAGATCCATGTTCTGTAATTTGTTATCGCGTTCCAGAAAACCTGAAATATTGACTTAAATTAATAATGCCAAATACAATGTTTCATATATTCTTTTTGAATTTCAAATATAATTAATAAGACTAACAACTAAATAAATTTTGCAATAAAACTCCTGTAATATAAATATTAGGAAAAAGGCATTTGTTATGACTTTTAGCACACAACTACCTAAATAGATCAATTTTAGGGGGTAATTTGCTAATAAAATTAGATAATAGGGGAAAGTTTACTAATATTTATAGTAGGAGGGGTTAATTTACAATAAGAATAAAAACAGGGGTGCTAAAGGCAATAAAAGCAAACAATAAAAAACCTTTGAGAATTTGTCAGTAGCAACAGTTCCTTTCTTCTTGAGAGTGCCAAGATTCCCGTCGGGCAAATCTTGGCCGAGAGTCATGACCAGAATCCCCATAATCACGTGCAGCCATCCAGGAATAAAGAACGCGATTCTCCAGGCGGTGAACGGCGTCGAACCGGCTTTCCGTATCATCTCGTAAAGAAGCGGCATGATCAGCTGGGTGGCGCCGCCGCCCATGTTCCCCCACCCCGCCGCCGTCCCGTTCACCAAACCGATAATCTTGCTATTAAACATCGTGCTCATCCAGTACTGGCACGAGACAAACGTCGCCAGCGAGAACCCGATCATGAACCGGACGGCCAGGTATCCGCCGGCCGACGAGACGAACGTCATGCAGAAAACCGTCGGAGCGGAGAGCAGGATGAGGAAAGCGCAGCCGTATCTGGGCCCGAGGAGGTCGCAGACGACGCCCATGGCCAGCCTGGAGAAGATGCTGCCGGAGACGGAGGCGACGCCGGCGTTTCCGATGTCGCTCTTTGTCAGGTTAAGGTTGTCCCGGATAATCGGGACGAGAGGGGCGGCGGCGAAGGTGGAGACGAAGCAGGTGAAGAAGGAGATCCATGAGAGATGGAAAGTACGCATGTGGGGCTTTGCGAAGGAGAAGAGCTTGAAGACAGTGGCCTTGTGTTCTGAATCGACGGGGAGATTGAATTTGGCGGTTTTTTCGGTTGGGACAGTTGACTGTGAAACGGAGAAGGCGTAGGTTTGTTCTTTGCCGGAAACTCCATGCATGGAGCTTCCGGGAGAACCCTGTTCAGTTCCTGCCATTATATTTTAATATATATATATTTTTTATCAGTATTTAAATTAAAACTTTGATTGGAAGAAGTAGTGAAAAAGGAATACAGGGAAATGGGTATTTATAGAGATAATTAGTTAAGAAAATGGAATATAATCCGGGGAAGGTTTCATTTCATTTGGTGTCACATTTTTCTTTATTATTACATTATTCACATAAAAGATTTTAAAAAATAAAATAAATTGAAAAGGGGTAACCGAATATCTAGATTTCTGTGGCCAGTCTAGCTAGAGTTCTGTGGGGTGGCTCAACGATCAAGTTACATATCATGCAGGCAAAGTTATAATTTCTCATAAGTCATACCATAATAATTTATTGCATTTATCACCCCCATATATTAATCATAATTGTTACCGTATTATTTTATATTAATTCGCAGAAATAATTTAGACTTTTTTTTTTAAATTCCAATTTATAGCACAAGAATAGTTTGCTTAACTCCTTGTGTAGATTAATAGAGTAGAAATAATAATAGTAGTTTAGAACGTTTTTAACGAGTCGGAATCGGAATAAATTATTATTTAAGTAAAATTATTAATTTATCGAAGTTCCACAGTACATAGCTTCTACTAATGAGTAGAGTATAGCGGTCTAGTGTTCAAATTTTAATTACGCCATTAATCTAATACGTGTACAGGAGAAGCGTCTAATTACGCCATGTCGCCATTAATCTAATAACGAGGATATACAGAGAAGCATTTCCTTACTCCATTATCGGATCATGTTTTATATATGTCCATACGTGTTACATCGGCTGAAGACAAAATTAATTAATTAATTAATTAGGGTCTTTCTAGGGTGAGATCCCATGTTCTAAACTTTTATGAGATACCCCATTTATATTGCGCCACGTGTCCCTGCCCAAAAATCCATTTTTTCCTCATTTACGTATTGTCGTAAATACCCTTCGTATAATTAATATTTTCAAAAAATCGGCCATTATATATTATTAATGTAATGTCAATTTTACCCTCTATATTTTTAATCAATTTTAAATATATATTTATTGCTGAATTAAAATTTATAACGTCAATTATATCATTATTCGTAAAAATCATTAAACCACCCATCCAAAATTGCATCAACCTGAATTCGAACCTGTGACCATCTGAAAACATACAAGAATACTTACCATTAAGACACAACACATAATTGACAATAAACTAACAATATGGATATATATCACAAAGCTACAGTTTATAATGGTTATAAAACTTATATAAATAATGTTAAATAAATTATTAATTCTCATATAATTATTATTATTATATATTAAAAATATCCACTACTAACAAATCTTTATATAATATAATTTAAAAATCTAAGGAAATGTTATTCAACTCGTGTAATTTAAAAATTAATTTCGAAAGAATTTGAAGTTTGAATTGAATCGTAAATTGTAAGATTTAATTAAATCGTAATATTTGAATCAATTAAACTCGTGTGTTTTCAATTAAAAAACAATATTCAAAGACTTGATCGATTAAGCTCAACTCATTTCAATTCGTAGACAACATTCAAATATTTGAATCGGTTAAACTCAATAATTTACAATAGCGTATTAATCAATCTGTGTATAGTTAAAGTTTAGTAACCTTTTTTTTATTGAATTTTATCATAAAAAATAATAAAATTTAATCGGTAAAAATCGTAAGATTTAATCGGTTCATGGTTAGATTAAATCTTACGATTTACAATCTGATTCTTACGATTTTACGAATTAAATTATTATTTTGTTGTTAAAATTGAATTAAAAGGATAGTAGACTTTAATTATAAATAGTTAACTCGATTAATACGTTATTGTCAATAGTTGAGCGCGCTAATGAATCGATTCAAATATTTGAATAATGTTTACGAATTGAAAGGACTTGAGCTTAATTGGTTCAAATATTACGCTTTGATAAAATATTATGATTTACGATTAGGTTCTTACATGTGTTAGGAATTAAATTTATTATTTTTATGACAAAATTAAATTAAAAAGATATTAGACATTACTTATAAATAGTTAAATCAATTTTGTAACATGTTATGTCAATAGTTAAGCAACCGATTCAAATATTTGAATAATGTTTACTAATTGAAATGGTTTGTACTTCATCGATTCAAATCTTACTAGTTGATTAAATTAAATATTAAAAGAAAATTCACAATATAGTATTTGTAGTATATAATTTTATTTTAAAGTAAGAAAACTACTAATTGGAATGAGTTATAATTTTTTCTTCTTCTAAATAAACATATTATTTTATTTTTTATTTGGATTTGCCACACTATCGATTTAATAACATAAGTGAGTTTGAATTAAGTTATGCATTTTTTTTATTTAATTGAGCATTCTTTACATTTTTAAATTGTGGATTTTATTAATACTTCTAATTTTATATAATTAATGATAGATGTTTGACGTATTGAACTGCAATTCTTTATATTTTTCAAACTTTATTTCATTAAATTTGTTAATAATTTATTTAATACCATTTAATAATATTGAATGTTGCAATTAATATTTGCATTAACAGTATTTATACAATTATGGTTAAATATTTTATAATAAGTTAATGTGCTTGGATGGTTAGGAGTGATAAATTTATTAAGAGGTCACAAGTTCGATTTTCAATGAATGCGTTTTTTTCGATTATTCATCAAATAAAACTCAATCACAATGAATTTAAATTAATTATTTAATTAAAATATAGTAGGGGGTAAATTAGACAATTCAATGTTAATCAATTTTATATTAATTTAATAAAAAAAATAATCGAAGGATAATTTGGTAAAGTACTTCATTTTTTAGAACATAAGCCATGTTATTTTCCTAGGGTCCAGATTTAATCTTAGAAAATTAATGGTGATTAATGCATATCTCATAAAAGTTTAGAACATGGGGTATCTCACCCTAGACAAATCCAATTAATTAATTTGTGCCAAACTTTTTAATGATGTTTAATTTGGTACCAATTAAATTAAGGGTTAATATGCTATGAGCCCCTCAAACGAAACCTAATTTGAACTAAATGACAAGTTCAAATTCATTTTTTTAATTAAATTCTTAATTTGAAATAATATATGAGCCACATCCTTAATTTTTTTTAATCCCTATCTTGCCCTTATACCCTAAATTATATAACCTACATATTCTCGTTTCTCCAATTCAGATTTATTCCGTTCCTTTGTTTCTCTCACGTTCTCTCTCCCCCTCCCTCTCTCACACGTTCTGTTCTCTCTCCTTTTCACTCTCGTTTTTTTTTCTCCATCTCTCTCTCACCTCTCTATCTCCATACCTCTCTCTTTCTAATTAATTTGATAATAGTCGAAGCGAAGGGTTGTGGTGGATGAGGAGGGGCTGTGGTGGAGCAGGAGGCGGCGGCGGGCTGTCTTTTGAGATGGCGGCGGGGGCTGGGGTGGAGGAGGTGGCGGTGACGGGCTGTGTTTTGAGATGGCGGCGAGGTGTTGTGGGCGGCGGCGGGGGGCTGGGGTGGAGGAGGCGGCGGCGGCGTTTGGTGGTTGAGATGGCGGCGAGGTGTTGTGGGCGGCGGCGGGGGCTGTGATGGAGGAGTCGGCGCCGGTGGGCTGTGGCTGTCGAGATGGCGGTCGGCTATGGTGGTCGAGATGGCGGCGATGATGTGGTTATGGTAGAGATTCGATCTTGATCTTCAAGAGATTTTTCTTGATTTGGGTTCAAAATCGTAAATCTAGGTTTTCCCAAAGTTGGTAGGTTACGGTTGCGACGGCTGCAGATGTCGGCTGCTAGGGTTTGACGTTGACGGCTAGGGTTGACGAGGGTTGTGTGTTGTTGGCGGCTAGGGTTTGGTAGTACACCGTAGTATACCATAGTATTACAACAAATAAAAAAAAAAAAATATATATATATATATATATATATATATATATATATTGAATTAACGAAAAGGAAAAACAGGTTTTGTGTTGTAATTTTTAATAATATTGTAGAAAAAAATATTTTTTTATAATAGTGTAGAAACGATAGTACAACATAGTATAACATAGTACACCATAGTATACTATAGTATTTTTGAAATATGCTGAATTATTTAACAAAAAGAAAAAAAGAATCGTAATTTTCAAAAAAATTGATTATAATAATATAAAAAATACCATAGTATAACGTAGTACACCATAGTATACTTTAGTATTTTTGAAATCTGCTGAATTATTTAACAAAAAGAAAAAAAGAATCGTAATTTTCAAAAAAAAATATTATAAATAAGAAAAAAAATTGTTTATAATAATATAAAAAATGCAAAGTGTAAATTGAAAAAAATAAAGATGAGTGAAAGGGCATTTTCGGAATGAATTTAATAAAGGATGTGAAGCAAATGTTTAGTTGAGCTTGTCATTTAGTTCTAATTAGTTTTGTCACTAGGGACCTATATCTTAAGACCCCTTAAATTAATACATACCACATGTAAACAGTGTTGATGGATGTGAAGAAATATTCATATCTATGGAGTATACTAGGAATTAATTAGGATATTAATTTGAAATATTTTACATAAACGAGTTGAATATTATGGTTTATTTAATTCCAAACTTATCCTTTAAATTGGCTACTTAGAATGTAAAATTCAAGGGCGTTTGCGACATTTCCAAGCTGTTGAAAAAACAGAACAATTAATTCAAACACACAACCAACTACGATTCAATTTCAATCAATTTGCAGCTAGATTCCAATATTTAAGACAAATCTTTTGTAATATATACTAAAACATTCAACGACAAATTAATAGATTCCCACATCATCATATCGTCATCGTCCCACACCATTTTTATGACAATAAGTAAATTAAAACATTCATTAATATATTATTATATTTATTTATCCGGCCAGCTTAAAAATGGCTCGGCGTCGAATTCGGGGGAGTCGGCGCGGAGCCGATGCGGTTGCCGCGCTCAGAGCGGCTGTTCTCAGCGAACTTAAGGCTGTTCTGGTGCATCCCCTTCTTCCTCTCGTCCTCATCGTACTCGGCGGAGTAGTAGTGCTCCTCCTCCGCGTGCTTCGACGGCGGCAGGAACATACTCCCCCACTGCGGGAAGTGAACAACCGTCACCGGCAAAGTACAGCACATAATCATAATCCCCATATACGTTAGCCCAGTCGCCGTCGAGTACCTCGAGCTGGTGAAAAACAGCAGCTGAGTCAACCCGGACCCGAAATTCCCGCCGGCGCCGGTCATACCCGATATCACTCCAAGCGATCTCCGGGAAATGAAAGGGATGATTCCGAAGGTGGCCCCACAGGCGGCCTGAGCTCCGACGGAGAAGATAATCATGAAGGTGACGGCCAGGGGGAGGGTATCGGCTTTTCCGAGAAGAAGGCAGAATGCTCCGCCGAGGGTTTGCAGGATCCATAGCGTCCATAGCCTTCCCCTCATTCCGAATTTTCTGGCGGCGTAATCGGATGCGAAGCCGCCGAATGGGCGTGCCACTAGGTTTGCCATGCCGAAGGTGGCTGCTATAGTTCCGGCGGTGTGAAGTTTTAGGTCAAATCTGTAATTTATATTTAAATCAGGGGTCAATATATAATATTTATAATTTGTGTGTGTATGTGTGAGTGAAAGAGAGACGAGAGACTTTAGCATGTTAAATCGAACCGGACAGATCCAATCGGAACTAGCAATTTTGAAAAAAAAACATTTTTTCGGAAAAATATCATAAATTAAAAAATTTCAGATTTGGATCGACAGAATTTGAAAATTATATTTTTCATTCATTTATAATATAAGTGTAGTTTTCCAAAATATTTAGTGAAATTGATTGGAAATCATAATCTAATAGTATTGCCGAAAAAAGTCGGGAAAATCGAAGCTTTTGGAATTCGAAATGATAATATTTAATTTTTACGAAATCGCAATTATTTAAATCGAAATCTCAAAAATTCGGAATTCGACCTGTCGTAAAAGTATTCGGCAATGACATTATCGGTAGATAATTCAACTCCCATGGAGTAACCGTAGAGGAGGACAAATATATAGGTTCTGTAATTCGTCACGGCATACCACAACACCTGAGTATATATATAGCCACGTCATCAGTAATTAATTAGGACGTAATTAATGAAAAATTAATTAACATAATAATGAAAGTAATGAATTACCTTGCCAAATTTGTCTTTAGCAACAGTGCCCTTCTTCTGTAGGGCACCGAGATTTCCATCAGGCAAATCCTGGCCAAGTGTCATAACCAGGATCACCATAATCACATGCAGCCACCCTGGAATGAAGAACGCGATTCTCCAGGCGGTGAACGGAGTTGACCCGGCCTTCTTAATTATCTCGTACAGCACCGGCATTATCAGCTGGGTGGCGCCGCCGCCCATGTTCCCCCACCCCGCCGCCGTCCCGTTCACCAGCCCGATGATCTTGCCGTTGAACATGGTGCTCATCCAGTACTGGCAAGAAACGAAAGTCGCCAGCGAAAACCCGATCATGAACCGCACCGCCACGTAGCCGCCGGCGGAGGAGACGAACGACATGCAGAACACCGTCGGCGCCGTGAGCATGATGAGGAAGGCGCAGCCGTACCGGGGGCCGAGGAGGTCGCAGACGGCGCCCATCACCAGCCTGGAGAAGATGCTGCCGGAGACGGAGGCCACCCCGGCGTTGCCGATGTCGCTCTTTGTCAGGTTGAGGTTGTCCCGGATAATCGGAACGAGCGGGGCGGCGGCGAAGGTGGAGACGAAGCAGGTGAAGAAGGAGATCCATGAGAGATGGAAAGTACGCATGTGGGGCTTCCCGAAGGAGAAGAGCTTGAACTTCTTCGCCTTGTGCTCCGAGTCCACCGGCAGGTCGAACTTCGCCGTCGTGTCGGTGGCCACCATCGGAGATGCGACGGAGAACGCCAGCACCGGCTCCCTGCCGGTCACTCCGTGCATGGAAGTGCCCGGAGATCCTTCAGTACTTTCAGCCATTACGTACGTGTAATATATATAATTAATTATTTAATACTATTTTGAAAAGAAAATGTTTGAGATGGTGGTGAAGAAGTATATTATCGGAGAAGTTATATATAGTGTAAATGCGTTGACAATTATAGATGTATTTAATGGTAACATTAATTAATTAATATGCATTAAATAATTAATCAAAGATTAATTAATTAATTAAAGCAGAGAAGAATCCAATCCGCCACATCTGGCAATGAACAGTGTTTAGCCTTATCGTATATCCCAAAGGAGCATATACCATTCAAACTTCAGTGGGCCCCTTAATTAATTCAATTCCTAGATACAACCTCAGATGTCAGATTCATGACAATATTCAGTTAAATAGCTCAGAATTACTAATAAATTAATAATTAAGCAATATATAATTCCTTTCTTTTCTTCTTTTTTTTGGACCTACTTAGGATTTAAGACAAAACCCTAAATACAACATGGTTTAACCTGTATATGGCAGTGTAATTAATTTAAGTCCACTGGTAAAAAAATAGTGGTATTTTAATGTTCTTGATCCTATCATGTGGCTAAAATACTAATTGGATCGGAAATTATAAAAGATCAGCTGTTTTGTGGGAGTGGCAATTAATTAATTAATTAATTAATTAAACTGAAGAAGCATAGCTATTAATTAGGATATCTGATCATAATTAACTAGAACAATTTGCTTGTTAATCTAGCTTATATTATCTCATAATTAATTAGTTAAGATCACGTACAGCAGCATGTATTAAGAAAGCGCTGTTGATTCTGGTTTTCACAGCATGCATGTTTTAGCAAAAAGTCTGTGTTATATTAAAAAAAATTATTATTTTTCTCCATTTTCTTGCTTTATTTGGACTAATTATCCAACTTTAGAGAAAAAGTCTCAATATCTTTTGTCAACTTGCGAATCAATCAGGTAATTAGATATTACACCTGATTAATTACATTGAGTAAATTTCAATAGTAGATATACACATAATCACATACACACATGCAGGGGTGGAATCACAATCAAAATGTAGGGGGCTAACTAAAATTTTAGGGTTCGGGGCAGCGCCCGAAAAAAAAAATTTAGGTTCACAAAATATTGCAAAAAATAAGTTTATATTACTAATTTTTTAATTAAAATATCATATATATTATAATTATATCATCACAAAAATTTCTAAATTAATCCAAATTATTTTAATAATGTACTGCACTTATATTCGGGGATTCATGGCACGATCTTGTACTATTTTATAACGCATTGATGAAAAAATTTCAAAAGAGTA